CACACCCGATGCTGGAGAGGAAGAATTTTATATTCTGTCTCCGGGTCTTTTTTAAGGTGAAGACGAACCTAAAACAGGAGAGGAAGAATTTTATATTCTATCTCCCAAAACTAACGAGAAAGAATTTTATATTCTATCTTCAGCTGCAAAGGGGAACCCAAAGTGGGATCTTCACTCCGAGAATCCGAAAAGGTGAAACTAAGAGTGGGATCTCCACTCCGAGAATCGAGAAGATTCAAGCAATGCTAACTTTTATAGGATTGGTTACTTAATCTAAAAAGAGTTCCTCGTTTATCGATGTGAAATTTCAACTTCGGCCCTAACTTTTATAGGTTTGGGCGAATAGGAAAAGGTGAAAGTCTCTCGTTTATCAAAAAGGGCATTCTAATTTTGGTCCTAACCGTTTACAGGTTTGATCGAGTAGGGTTGGAGGCAATCCTAACGTTTATAGGTTTGATTGCTCAATTTAAAAGTGAACCTCTCATTTATGGAAGGAATCAAGAGTGGATTTTGGCTTTGGTCCTAACTTGTATAGGTTTGATCAAGCAAGCAGTGGCAGTGGAGTATAAAATAGGAGTGAAAATGCTGGCTTATACTAGCCACTCGATGGGGCATCCCGGTGTTAAGTGATCAGGACTTAACACGCCAAGTTTGAAAATTATCACAGATTGACGGATAGAATTTTTGAGTATCATGTTAGTATTTTAACAACATGAGTGTTAACTGCACAACATCCGCAACTCCACAATTGCCACAAACGCGACCTCACTTCTGAGATGATTGATCTTGATGGCTGTGACAACAGCATGACTAATATTATATTAGCAACTATTAGAGATGCTGATGAGCAGTGTAATGATTTCAGAAATAAAAAGTTGGACTTAGTTGGTGAGTTGCTTGGTAGAGAGCTGTGGGCAAATATTCGTCTAAAAATCACTATGGATGATTGATTCCCGTCAAGTTCCAACAATGAAAGCTACAATCAGATAGCTTTCATGCCGAAGCTGCAAATGGAGGACTTTTCACATAGATCGAGAAGAGTTACAATCCAACGACGCTTCCGACAACTGATGAAAACTCTATTCAGCAGTCTCCACAATCTACAGTGAAAGTTACAATCTGACGACTTTCACACCCCGCAACAGCTAAAGCTAGGATTACTGAACAACGGTCCTTACAACGCTCTGTAGAAGAGGTTACAGATCAACTAACCCCTTCTAAAACGCGGAAGTCATTCCCGCGTCATAATTTTGGAAATCCAGGCGACCCCCCGCGTTTCCAAGCTATAACAAGCCAAACGCGAGCGACCCTCGCGTTCCGGGGGTTCAACCAACACCGACCCCCGCGTTCTTAAGTGGCAACAAGCCAAAACACGAGCGACCCTCGCGTTCATTAATGTTTAGCCAACACCCAACCTCGAGTCTCAATTCTAAGAGGCGGTGTTGGATTCTGAACGTCAGATTGGGCGTTTGACTCGTTCAAATACGAGTCGAACTGTTTCAGAACTGTTTCCCCACGATCTGAGGAAATCACGCCCACTTAGGAGCGGATTTAGAGGGAAGTTACAACCTCTTATCCACCTATAAAAACTCAACAAACTCAACTGAGTTAAGGGCTGGCTTTTTGGAACGGAGAGGCAGAAAATTAGATATGGAGGATCTCAACTGCACAGAGAGGCGAGGGAGAGACGAAAATCCATGGAGATAGGATTTTTGAATCAAGTCCAGAAGATCAAAACCGAAAGGATTCTTCAACAACAGAATATCTGATTGGTCATTAACCGAATTTTCGGTTCTAACAACTCTCTTCACAGAGTTCTAATTCGTTCAGAGTTCTTAAACTCATTAAAAAGTTACCCATAAAACTTTCCACAGAAGTTCATCGTTCCCACGAGATAAAAGATGGTCGGATCATCAACGGAGAGCAAATTCGACGCGAACAATCGAAGGAGACACTCCATCGCTACCGTGAAGAACCCAGTTTTAAATAAAGGGAAGAACCAAATTCGTTCTCTTCTCTTTTGTAATCAAATTGTAATCGGAATCAAAGAAATACAAGTCAATTTCTCTTTTGTAATCAAATTGTAATCGGAATCAAAGAAATACAAGTCAATTTTCTTTTGTTCTCTTCATTGCAATTTTTCCAACATAATCGGAATCAAAGAAATACAAGTCAATTTTCTTTTGTTCTCTTCATTGCAATTTTTCCAACATACAATCAGTGAGGGATTTTATGGTAAAAGATTATGAATTATCAAACACCAGTGGGGGTTTTGCGAGAGAAGATTGGTCTATCAAAGTGATCGAATCTCGTCTCAGCAAAAGTATTCATGAGGGTTGGTGAATTCGATCTCGACAGTGAGATACGTTTCGACCTTGAGGACATTCAGAGACCAAGTGGGGATTTCTTATTTATCACTTTTGTAGTGACTGGGTTATCCTTAAGAATACTACACGTAGTATTCTTTCGGGAACTTCCCGTTATATGGGTTATCCTGAACGTACTAAGAGTAATACCTTTTCAGGAACTTTCCGTTTATCGGCATCATAAACCGGGCGTCTTCTTTGATAATAAGGCGATATGCGTCATTCGAGTAGACTATCTCTACCACAAACGGTTTTTCCCATTTGGATTCGAACTTGCCTTTCTTCTTGGAATTAAGGATCATTGGTCGTCGGACGGCTAAGACCAAATCCTCTTCTTTAAAACTCCATTGTCGAACTTTTTTATCAAAAGCTCGGGAAATTTTTGGCTTAGTAGAACTTAATGTGCTGTTGAGCTTCCAAACGTTTTTCGTCGAGCATTTTGAGTTCTTCGAGACGTTTCTGATGTTGTTCTTCCGTTATCATCTCAGTTACGAGAGCGATCCGAAGAGATGGAATTTGGATTTCCAATGGAAGAACTGCTTTACACCCGTATACCAGAGAATACGGGGTTGCTCCGGTAGACATGCGAACTGTGGTGCGATAGGCTCATAGAGTTTCACTGAGTTTGTCACCCCAATCTCGTTTATTAGTCTTCACGAGTTTTGACAAGAGTTTTATGATAGTCTTGTTAAAGGCTTCAGCTAATTCGTTCGCTGTGGGGTTGTAAACTGTCGACGAGACGTCCTGAATTTTAAACTTCTCGCAAAACTTGATGAAGGTGTTACAGTGAGCAGTGCATGCGCGAGCAGTGCACGGTGCTTCTGAATGCGTTCTTCAAGAGTTGAACGTGTCCTTTTGACATGGATCCATTCACTGGTTGATTGTTTGGAGGAGTGAATAGCTTGTTGTTGAGGCAGTTGAGTCGTGTGACGCCTCCTAGACTCCAGATCCGCGTGATAACGGATCCCGTCATCCGGCTCCAAAGCTTTGGCAATTTGACGCGCGGAGCGTTGACGTTGCCTCTGACGAGCCCTCTTCGACAGAATCGGTACGCCTTAAGTAATTAACTCCTTGATTGAGGAGAGATTGTTGTGATCAGCAAATCCGGCTTTGTTGGACGGCTGAGGCGCATTGCGAGGAGAAACCGCAGCAACAACTGGGCTAGAATCATCACCCTGGGTCTTCTTCATATTTGAAGACCCGCGAACCTTCTTTGAAGAAGAGATCTTCCTGCACTTGCGAGGGGAAGAGGATCCGGGGGAGGAGAGGTATTTCTCATACTTTTGTTGGTCGAACTCGTACTCGACCTCTGCATCAACCGGGATATTGATTCTTGGTTGCGACACGACAGCCTTAGCAGAGAGGCTGTTGGCTCCCATTGTGGTCGTCAGCGTGTTTGTGTCGGAAATCTTTTTCATTGTTGAATCAATTACACGTTTATCGTCTTACAGATTCAAAAAAGAAAGTTAGTCTTTTTATAAGACTTTCTTATACAATGAAAACAAATAGGGGGATCTCCTCGAAACACACGCAGGATCGTTTATCGATCGCTGCTTGCGTGAAATCTTTGCCAGTGTCGGGGACTCTTTGATCCGCGGACCGCCGAGTATCAGATCCGGTAGATCTTGTTTCACAAAGAAAATAAGAACTAAAGTAAATATCTCAACAATGTGAGATAAGTACTCTTCTCAAGATCAAAACGAAGTCTGATCTTAAGGAAACATGTGAAGGATGCTGAAGGGGGTTGCAAATCTCTTGAACTCTTTCTCTTTCTGCTAAAGAACTCGCCAAGACTCGCCTTTAGATCTGAAATTCGTGCTCCTTGCACTCCAAAAAACGTCAGGGCTTCGCCTCCAAGTCCGAAATTCCAGATCCCCCGTGTATAGGGGTCCTAGGGGTGTATTTATAGGCTTCGGATGATGTGTTTTTGGATAAGAATTCATGATTTGCTCTTATCTTCAGTTAATAACGGCTTAACCACGTTTGGAGATGGTCCCAATGCAGTTAGGGAGGCAGTAGATCGAACGAATCCCGAGAAAATCATCCGAAAACACGTCGTTGAGAACTTCACTGTGCGAGTCACCTCAATGTCACTCGGCACTGTTCTGAGTCACCTCAATGTGACTCGGAATTTCCGAGTCACCTTGAGGTGGCTCGGAATTTCCGAGTCACTTCGAGGTGACTGGGATTTTCCGACTTCCCGGTTTTGGTCATGTTCCGTTGTTTTGTGCACGTTTCGATGTTCCTTGACTCGTACGCTTCGCCGACTCGCCTCATGCGTTTGTTTTGCTTCTTTACGGCATCGGATAATCCTCTTTGACTCGGATAATGACGTTCATCCCCTTCGTCTCGAGCTGCGTGTGGTAACCTATAGGTAATTTTTGACGCCTACACATGTGACTAAGGCAATTAGGATTACTTTATTCCTCTAAGCACGTTCTTAGCTTACCTTTGCCCTTTAATGTTTTCCAGCTACGACTGTCTTTTACTGTTTGGAGATTTCTTTTATACAAATTGATGTGATAGGAATTAACTTATTAGCATGTCCTTCAAGTCCTTTTATGTCACAATTTTATTCAATTTTATAGCAACTTTTGCAATTTAAATACAAACAAGACCGTTTGCCAAAATCTGCTAGGAAGCTAATGTTACAGCACCCTTGGTCCTCCAATCCATGCTCGCCGGAGCTGCAGTAAAATTCTCATACTTGAAGCTGCTTCGGTCTGCCGCCTTCCCTACAATTGACTTCGAAGGCCTGAACCCGTTATAGGAGGCCCTGAACTCCTCGTTCATCAGATCAGCAAACTGGTTAGCTCCGAGGTTGTACTTGTGCACTCCTGCAGAGTTAAACGCTTCAATGTACTCGACGTTGGCCTTGAATATCTTGAACCTGTGCAACTTTTCTGCTGCGTCCTTGTAGACCCGCCCGTGCTGAGCCATCCATTTCTCGTGCCTGTCAACCATGGACGCTTCACTCAGATATCGAGACGCGGTAGAGACCGAAACCCAAATGCCGAAGATCACCAAAGAGAACAACAGGCACTTGTGTGAAGCCAAAGAAGCCATGGTTAGTTAATCAATATAACCGTTTTGTAATTAAAAACACAAAGATGGCATTGGTTTATATAGAGATAATTTCAGCAATGCCTGTTGCATCCCTAATATTTCAAATCATTGAGAAAGTGCCGTGAAGTTGTTGCAGGTTCCTTTGGAATGTTTTGAGTGTTGTTGGAGGAAGGATTACGTTTTGTGGGTCTGTGAAGCGCATTCAAACTCTGAATGCTCATGTTTAGATTTTTTTTTTTAAATATAGTATGTTGAAGCTTCATTTTATGTGTAATGTGCTTTTGTTTAGAGTTGAGTTATTTTGTCAAATTGCGAAACTATAAAACGGTCAAAAAGAAACAGGACCAATAATTTATACAGGCTAGTTTCTCTATTGGCTGCTTCAATTTGTTTTCCAGAGAGGATTTGATACCTAATTAGAGTTCACACCATGGAGAAAGTGATATTTTTGTAGGAAAAATCTGTACCCGAGATATATTGACACTAAAAAGGATAAATTTCATATATCTGTATGATTTGAGGAACCAAATAACAGTTCTAAATTTCTAATGATTTGGGGGAGTGGTTTCAAAATATGAAAGACTTGGAGGCCTAATATCGAAATAACTCTAGAAACAAAAGAAATCTTACAATACTTAATTCCAACCAAAAACTAGCATATACACATTATTCAACTACGAGAACCAGATATGAGGGCTAACTCTCATGAAAAAGGGTTAGTATTATTGAAATCATGGTTCAAATGTACCACATGGCAATATTAACATAACAGGACAGAAATTTTTCATTTACTCAAAAATTGCCAAGAGCAAAATTTAGAGGAGCCGATATGCATAAAGAGCTTTTTTTTAATTTACCATCATATACTTGCCACAGCAGGGTGCAATTTTTGGGCCTTCCCCTTGTCCCTCCTCTCCTTATCCTCCTTTTAAAAAAAGAAAAAGAAAAAGAAACTTTTTTATATGTAAGATATGAATGTGGAGTTGAGAGGAGTGGTGGACACTAAGAAATATATTGTTATTATTTTTTAGTGGTACAAACACACTATACTCTCAAATACAAATATTCTCTCTCTCTATCTTTCTCTTTCTCTCTCTTTGCTACTGGGATGCCTTATAAATCAAACTTAGGGGAGTATATATAAGCTTTTTTATGGGGTAGGTATACACTATTAGAGTTAGGTGATTACTGTAGCTAGGTAGGTGGAAATGTTAGGTGGGGTGGAGAGCTGTTGGCTTCTAACACTCCTCCTCAACAGCGACTTCTCTATCCACAAGACCAATAATTCTAACTTCCTTTTCAATGCTTGGATTTCCTCTCTCACTATTTGTCTCCATTCTTCACTCTCGTATGCTTTTTTAAATGTATGGCTCATTCACATCTTTCATAATGGCCACATTAGCATACTTGGGATTTGGCTTCCTGGGTCTGGTTGATCTTCGAAGTTATTTAGTTAGTTCTTCTTCGATATTCTCTATCTGGCTTGAGCGTTCTTCTTCTGGCGTTGTCTGATAAACACCAGTTGTCCATGGATCATTCTCCTTTGAGGATGTTGAAGAGCTTGATTCTGTCTTCTCTGATTGACGCAGTCCTTCTTTTTGACCTGGTTCTCCCAGCTTCTTCTCCAACTGATCCTCTAGATCACTAGAGTCTGGGAGTGCAACTTCTTGTGAAGCCTACCAAGACGAGGCTTCATCAAACACAACATTCCTTGATGTGTAGTGTTGGCCTTCTTGTTTTGATGATGTTTAACAAACAATTTACGACTAATATTGTTTATCTAGTGTTTGTGTTTATTTATTTATTATAGACAAACAATATGTTGGAGGATAGATGGATTACGCCATAACGATCATATCAAATGGAGGTTGACGGAATAGTAGGTGAAGCCTATGCAATTCAAATTGAAGATCCAAGTTCTAGCTTCATCCGTAATGTGTACCAAGTCAAGCTTATTAAAGATCAAGATCAAGCTTGGATAACATTAGTTTAGGTTTATATTATGTGTGTTGGTACTTTAAGCTCAATCATATGTACACACACATTATATTGGTTTCTTGTATATATATAGTCATATATATATACAACACAAGCTTTGTTTATATATATAAAATAATTTGTATATACAAACTCAACTCCTTGTCAATAGAAGATATTTTCTTTTCATTCATTATGCCTTTTTTATTATGATGTCTCATTCTGTTTGGGATGATCAACCATAATATTTATAGGATTTTTGGCAAACCCTCAGTCATCAACGGGTTTGATGAGCTTTTAACAACTACCGTTTGAGTTGGGCTAGTATGCGGATTGTTTAAGTCTGTTCCGCATGCAACGTTGTGCTAAAAGAGTTAACCATTTTAGTGCTACGATGATAAATACGTACACTTCGTCTTTCTCACGGGAATAGACTACCCGGCAACGCGTGTTAAGCGTAGACTTATGATTTTTTAGCAAACCCTCAGCACTCAACAGATTTGACATGTCTTTACCGATTACCGTTTACATCGAGCTTACATGCAGATTGTTTAAGTCCATTATGTATGTAACGTTGTGCTAAGAGAGTTAACTCCCTTAGTGCTACGATATTAAATACGTAAACTTCGTCTTTTTCACGGGAATAGACTATCCGGCAACGCGTGTTAGACGTAAACTTATCTCTAGTTAGGGATCGAGATAAAATCTCTTGTGTATGAAGTGTACGGATTTGGAGTTGAGAATTGTGTTTTTTCTTAGGGTAAAGACACACCCGATGCTGGAGAGGAAGAATTTTATATTCTGTCTCCGGGTCTTTTTTAAGGTGAAGACGAACCTAAAACAGGAGAGGAAGAATTTTATATTCTATCTCCCAAAACTAACGAGAAAGAATTTTATATTCTATCTTCAGCTGCAAAGGGGAACCCAAAGTGGGATCTTCACTCCGAGAATCCGAAAAGGTGAAACTAAGAGTGGGATCTCCACTCCGAGAATCGAGAAGATTCAAGCAATGCTAACTTTTATAGGATTGGTTACTTAATCTAAAAAGAGTTCCTCGTTTATCGATGTGAAATTTCAACTTCGGCCCTAACTTTTAACATTTTGGTTTCATGTTTATATGCTTACATATGATTTCATCAATATCAATTTTATTTAGTTCAATGAAATCATGTTTATTGTTTTGAAAGTTTGCAAAACAAGTATTTTTGTGAAAATATTGTTTTCTTGGTTTATAGACTTAACCATAATCATATACATATTTTATTAAGTCTACAAAATTATTTTGTAATGTTTCAAAACATGGTTAAGCTAAAATGTCAAAACTCATGTGTTCACATTTTCATGTTTTGGACTATTTTATAAAATAATGATATTTCTCATTTGGAAGGTCTTTTTTAAAAACCAATTTTTGTAGCATGTTTATTATCATGTCTACAATCATCTCCCAAAGTTTCATAATTTTTAGAATTTATTTGATATTTTTAAACCCGGTTTAAGTTGAGTTTTTCTGTGCATTTTAGATCTGTGCACGTTTAGTCGACTCATAAGTCGACTCACGAAGTGCAGCGGAGTTGTGATTTTTTTTCTGCTGAGTCGACTCATATAAGTCGACTCATTAGTCGACTCATAAGTCGACTTATCAGAGTGTCATTGCACAGTAACGGCTAGTTTTCTGTTTTGTTTATTTATGGGTTTTTGGTCTTTTTTCTTGGGGTTTTTGCTGATGTTTTGGGTTCCTATATATACCCCCTTTGCTCTCATTTTTTGGTAGAACTAAGAAAATATTTTAATCAAGTTTAACAAGGGTTTAAGTTTTGTTTAAGTGTGTTTAAAAGCTTTTAAGCATTTTCAAGTTTGAGTTTGTGAAGATAATTTCACAAGAGCAAGTGGAGATCATCCTTTGGTGTTTGAACATTCACTCTTCTCCCTCTCTCTTGTTATCTATAGAGAAGTTTTCTAAACTCAATTTCTAGCTTTGTATTTACATTGTTTATTGATTATCATCTCCATAAGCTAGATTTACATTGAGTTTAGTTTGTTTTGATTCTCTCTCTGTTCACACACAACCATTGAGCTTATTGTATTTACATTCATAGTATAATTTGGGTTGTGGGTTTGTGACTTATAGTGTGAGCCTACATTGTGTTCTTATCTATTGTAGAGAACGATTTATTTGTATTGAGCCTTCATTGTGAGATCATATTGTATTACACTTGAACACCGAGAAGAGTGTGTGGTGAGGACGGAGTCGATACCAAGAGGAGTGGCGTCGGTGGCCTAGTGAGAGGTGATAATTGATACCAAGAGGAGTGGCGTCGGTGGCCTAGTGAGAGGTGATAATTCTGAGCACTTGAGGGAGTCGATACATGAGGACCAACACTTGAGGTTGTGGCCTAGTGAGAGGTGATAATTCTGAGCACTTGAGGGAGTCGATACATGAGGACCAACACTTGAGGTTGTTACTTGTGTATGTACATTGTGAGGATTTGTGAGAGTTGTCGGTTGACTTGATGACTGAGTGTGTAGAGTTTTCGATTAGCTAGAAAACCGAGTGTGTAGAGAAGTTCCGGCTTCCAAACCTAGTTGTGTAGTGGATTCTCCTCGAGAGTGGGGAGCGGGGACGTAGGACGAGAGGTCCGAACCTCTTGAATATATAGCGTGTTTGGTTTGCATTGGCGCACTTATAACTGTTCATCTTATAGCCTATTGCATCTTGTTTACATTGTCCACTAGTTTGTTTCACCCTTGTGATAGTTTAAATATATCCTTGCATATCCCATATAGTATATCTCATTGGTAGGATATATCACCTTAGTTATATTGCTTATTCTTGCTCATATCACTTTATATATCTATCTTGCAAGAATAATTTGTTAATAAGTTTTAAATTGACATAAAATCGGATTAGATTAGTATAAGACCCTAATCATCCCCCCCCCCTCTAGTGTCTAACATGTAGCACCGCCCGGTTGTGGGATCACAACATCTCCATCCTTTTCTTTTATTATCATATCCCATAAATA